AACCCGATTATCAAATTGCAGGTTTCTTGAATTTCCCGAATAATTGAAATGGGGGTTTGGAGGTCGTCTACTTCAACTTACCTGACGCCGAACTTACCGTTTTAGAGTTAAATTACTAAAGTGCGTGGTGCGAAGCGCCGCTCAAACCTTCAATTTACACGCGGAACAACTTACCCCCAGCGGCAGCGGGAAGCAACTTCGACTACGCTTTTTTCACTTTACACTTACTACCAAAAACCTTTCTTCTCTGCCGTTCCTATTTCCCGTACCCCGAAACCCTATAACCACCGTTTTTGAAGGACAAAATGCTGACACTAGGGGTAGACGAGTGGGCCTACATAAGTTACTTTTGCCTATTATTCGTTAGCAAGCGTGTGAAATAAATGGCATCACCGAAAATCTAGTCGACCTACGCATAATGTGAGTTTTCTCTGATAGTGCGGGGAGACATGAGAGCCATTTTTGTGAGCCTACGGAAGTTATAATACCCCAAACCTCAACCAAACCTCAAGACAAGTCCATCCATGTGGATTTATGTCAAATTTTACAAAAATTACTCATATCTATTTCAGATGTCAGCATTAAAATATTTAGAATTCCCTCAAAAAACTCCAATCCTGAGGATCGATGTTAGCGCATTATACTAATAAAACCTGCTAACAACGTTGGTATTTGAAATTGCCGGAAAAGACAAGTAAGGATACTGGAATGGCCATTTATGGCTCATTAGCCATTTTCCACCGGTCATACCCAGTCCCAATGGCTAGAGCACTCAAGGCTCTAACTCTCACTCTTTTTGCTGAGAGTCCAACGCCCTAACCAATTAGTCACGAGCTCGTTGTCTTGTCGGTTTAGGTCGAATGATATTGACGCTCGTTGATGAACGTTCACCGACCGCTAAGGGAAATCATGTGTCCCGCTCTGCCTTGGGTCTCATTTCGCGGGTCCTGACAGCAGCCGTAGTGACTAGTGTTCTTAGGCAGATAATAATTTCGGCAAAGACAAGGGAGACTTGAATAGACATTGCTGGCTTAGTAGCCGTCGTCAGCCAGCCATAAACCTGAGGCTTGAACCTACGAGTCTAACGTTATGAGCATTGAGCCACAAGCTCGCTGTTTTGGCAGTTAAGATCTCTGGGAAGCCTTGGTATGACTGTAAATATTTCTCCTTGACTGAAACGAACAAACTTTTAAGTTTACGAAAATTCCCATTGAAAATTTCAGACGATAAATTGGCGAACATACGTTTGTTTTCGATGAATTCTCGTCAGACCTTTACATTTATACGGTGATATAATGAATAAACTATGCTGATTGTTGGACAGATGTCCTGTTGTTCGTCGCGGCGCCGCAGTTAGCATGGGCGAAACTAGCTAACACACTCGCACGTAGCGGATCACTGGTCTCGGAAACGGGCCCCCACAGAGACGGACAAGTCCTAAATCCAACCGCTCACACTTTATTACCTGTCTTGGACGCCGGTCCGTCTAGACACTGACATTTTGACCGGACTTTACCAACCCTCCCCACCGACCCTGACAACGACAACTGTCCACCAACCAGCATAGTTTATTTATTTCATTACCATATATATGTAAAGGCCTGGAGAGAATTTATCTAAAACAAACGTAGGCTTGCCAATTTATCTTCTGGGATATACTTTCGTAAGTTTAAAGCTGGATACGTTCTGAGAGAGAATTTAGCCGATGGCAATAACTTTTTACAAAATTAACGTAACCGTAGAGGAAAGTGTCATATCAACGACCAATCCAAACCTCAGTGAGGAACCTATTCTAGTTGCCCTGTATAGTTCAAATTTACAGGACCTTTTAGATTGTCTTTCATTTAATCTGTTAAGTTAAGGTTAAGATTATAGTTGCGTCGTAACGGAAGTAAGAACATCTTATTAATCGGTTGAAAATCCTATTCTCTTCAGATTTGACAAAAAACAATGTAGCTAGCTTGCAGAACCCAAGTGCGTATAAGAGGATATTTGAAATCATTTTCATAACGCATCCTATCAGCCTTATTCTGATTTCATTTTTGACCGATTCGTCTGTGGGCATCCTCACTTACATAGTAATATTAATTGTTTTAGTTTATTTAAATAACATTCAAGGCTCTGAACGTTATAAAAAAATAACAAATTCTTATAAATTTTGCGTCTTGCCCCACCGACTAATCTATTTGGAATTGTGGATAAATGCGTTTTTTTTCGTACAAATGTACGTGGAGGTTAAGAAAAGTTAAACGAGTATTCGATATGCATTGTCAGGAAAAGCCGGTGGGGCATGCCCATCTAACCCCACGGCAGGATCTGGAACCCGACAAAACGCTAATGACTTGCATTTTATGACGAGCTACGGTTAATTTTCAATTATTACTTTTAGGAGACGGAACAATGTAATATTTCGAGATTAAGAGTAATGCCACCTCTGTTCCGTGTGAGGCCTACCTGTCTCCAGGATCTGTCGTTTATAACAGTATAGGTAATATAGACTAAAAACAAAGGCATTTGGATTCAGTCGGAAGGATCTAAACAGCGAATTCCTGCAACTTTGAATGCTTGGCTACTCCTCGGTACGCGCTAACAGCAATTTGTATACGTTCTGTTACACCACCGCAGCCACCTAATATCATGCACGAAACCTGTAGTAAACTTTTTCGAATATTATGTGACCTACATTTAAAGTGGATAAGAAAAATTAAGTATACAGGAAGTCCTAAAACATTTACATACATTTGAAATTACTTGCAAATGTGTTGTTTGTTATAATTTTATTATTTTGAAAACATAAAATGTTTACAAGTGTCATTTATTTTTTTTCACTGCACATTGACTATTAAACGCCACAACCATACCAAATGGGGGAACTGAGAATCCACATTTTATTTTCGACCTTCATGTTAATCAACCAGAAATAAAAGTGTGGTGCGGCTTATCATCGGCAAAGTCTGGAACACAATGGACGTCAGTTTGGGAATGCGCAGTGAAAAAACAATGAAATGCTAGTTGTAAATATTTTTACATGTTTAATTAATAAAACTATAATAAAAACGAAATTTACAATTGTTTAAAAAATGTACACCTTTGTTTAGTAAACCCTGTATATCCTCAGCCTAAATGGTTTTGCAATACGTGTAAACGCTAACTATCTACTGATAGTCTACCCAATGCCTGACGTTTCTTGCAGTTGGCATACAAAATTAAAGACTTTAGGAAAGCCTGACTTAGTTACTTCTTAGAAACTGTTTGTTACGGATTAATAAACGAGTTTATAGTTAGTAAGCTTAGAATTAAGTCATAAATGAACACTAACCCGCTGTAGTTGATTGAGCTTCTGTGTTCGGAAAGAATATACTACTGCTGGGATTGCGCTTGGATGTCCCCAGTCGACCATCAGGTAGTTCAGCCATCGCACCTTTAAGGGGCCCGGGAAAAGATGTAGCAAGGCCTCCAGCCAGACCGGTTAATGCACCAGGAGTCTTTGGTCGAACGGCTTCAACGGGCAGGACGCGGCGCCGTTTTTTGGGAAGCTTTGATCGAGCCTGGGTATGCGAGTAGAACATGGAGAAGTTTGAAACGATGACAGGAACTGGTAGTGAGATGGTCAGTACTCCAGTGACGGCACACATAGCTCCCACGATCATGCCTACAACAAGTTACCAGATAGAAGAGGATAATATGTCAATTAACGTATCCAGCCAAACGTGTGTACTTCTTTTTTTGGTTATATTATCAAAATTATAGCACACTCTTAGTTCAACAGTCTGCCGATGTATATGGCTTAGTATAGGAACTAGCTACAATAAATTGCGCTTTACTGGCAGCCAAGCTCCTCAAAGTACGGCCGCGCTCATTTATCGATTCTTAGTGCGCTTGGGATTTTTACCCTTATAGTAAAAAAATTGGAGGCAGGCTGTGAAAATTTAAAAGTATGCTCATTTAGAAGAATCTTAAACTTACCTATATTTATATCTGAATTAAAATTAGATACATTCAGAAAATGCTGCAATACAGATATCCAATCGCCGAGTCCGATAAACACTGATGGAAGCAGAACAACGGATATCGACAGTAAAACTACTTTACATTATTGCTAAAAGGAATGGGACCCTTCAGAAAAAATGCACGTACTATCGTGACGACCAGAAAGAAGCATATTTCCATCATCCGAGTTTAGAATAAATATAATCATAAGAAAAATAATACAACGTATAGTTCAAGCTGTATAACCACAGAATAAGTAACGGTCGTTAAGGGTGAATGTAATTATATGCAGTAAATTGCCTTACTCATGAACTGTAAAGGTGGAAATTTGCGGGATTGATTTAACACGCATTTAAAGTTGTTCATTTTTTTCATTAAAATGAACAAAGATTTCAATTCAGAAAAGTATATTTAGTTGAAATATGCGCATAGTTTGGCAAAATCCGAACTTTATCGGGATCCACGGAATGTACTGCAGTATTGTATGCTACTCGCAAACACATTCCTGTGTACGCGTGTCGTACTATGGCAGAAGGCTAATAAAAGCCGGGAATGTCCTAAATGTCTAAACCCAAATAAGGGACGGTTTTTTTAGCAGGTAAATGCTATGATGGCAAATGGCACTGTTCTCGAAAAAGCATGGGTTAGTTTGGTTAAAAATATCTGTTTTGTAAATATGGTACGCTTTGTGCCATTGGATTACGTAACAAAATTTGTGCAGCTGTTGTTGCTTTTACAACAACGAAAGCATATATGAACATTCGCCGAATGCCTTTAGTTTTCTCTGTTAATATGCAAACGGTATCATATTTTTTAAATCTAAATTGGAGTTTAGGTGAATACGGAAGGTTGAAATGGAACGGGCAGAAGATTATCAGTTTCGCAAAACCGCTCCAATAGAAAAGCGATTCCTCTCATCTTTAGCAGAAGATCTAGCCCTATTTTTAGGTAGGCCAAAATAAACGAAAGAAACTTTACCATACTCAGCTTACTTTACCTTCAAGAAGGTAAAGTACGCAGATTTCCGACGCCAAAATATATAATTAAAGCGCTTTCGCGAGAAGCAACTTGTTATAGGAAGTTTTTAAAATATGCTTCGGCATATTAAGTTGACTTTTGATTGTGGACGTTCATTTTCCTCGTCAATGGGTTGACGCATTTGGGTTTTTATGAAAATATGTCCAAACAGACAGATGTCTAAGAAATAATGCCCAAAAGCTCAGTATGTAGATAAACGCTTCTTAGAAGTATCTTATTCTGAAGTTTTGGAAAGCATGTAGAAGGACATCCTTATTTATGGACAGTTGAGTAGAAACACTGAAAAGCGTTAGGAGTTCACCATTATTTTAAAAGCGATATGAATCTTGTCGTAATTAAACTGCCGACCAATGTGTCGGTAGGCGATTCCTCTTAATATACACAAAATGGTACGCTTACGATTGAATTTGATATATCTATTTCAATGTTTTAGTCACTAAACTGCATGTGCACATGTGTGCCTATGAAATCTTCTCGGCCTTTGACGTCCCAGTTGGTGCAATCATGCGGAAATCTGGTTGTTATGGTCAAACGTATCTCATACAACTTACAAACCGAAAAAACCATTGGCAATACCCGATAATTCTCGTTAGATGGCATATTTGAATTTTGGCCTGTTCGCTAACTGCCGCTCTTTACAGTATGGAAGAATATGTATTTCCGAAAATTTTTAAAAAAGTCTTTTTTAAAAGGTACTTCTGTTTTTTGCTGATTTATTCACTCCTTTTTTGTGCACGAAAAGACTTTGTATTTATTTAAATCTTAGGTTTATTCAGTCAATCCACTTTTACACTTTCTCAGAGCTTTTCGCTTTCCAAAATAACTCTTATTTTTAAGCAATGTAATATTAATTAGGAGAACACAATCTCTATTTTTTATTGGAATCTTAAATTTGCTACTGTAAGACTTTGGGGCACATAGTTTGGCGTGCTTTTGCGTACCAAATATTTTCTTGTAAAACTCCTTGAGGAGTGGGGGTAGCTACTGTAGACAATCAGAGTTACTGAACCAACCATTTACCGGAAATTATTGTTAAGATCTACGTAAACAACACCTCTCAATTATGCTTCAAATTTAATGATTTGAGGTAATAACTGTTGATACGAGAAAATAAAATCGTTTTCTAAAATCTATATGAACTAATTTTGGCAGTCCAAGCAACTGTAAACTCGGGGTTTACCAAACGTATTTGCAGTACTCGTAAAGGTAGAGTTTACCATTATTATTGTCTAAAGAATTTTGGATACACGTATTTTTTTGGATTTAACTTATAGTCAGCAATCTTTAGAAATGCCTAGGAGTTATCTGTACGATATTCTCGTCACATTCAAGGACCATCATATAGAGCACAAAACATTGCAACTTGCGAACAGTTAAATAGAGCACTCATTTACAGCAACCGCAAAGGCAACAAGCATGTTGTACATTTTACTGCTTAGAAGGGCAGAGATGACTTTAGTAATCATTTTTTTCTTTTTTGTGGTAGTAGCAGAGAGCATCAAAACAACAAGAGGTTTAAATGTACGCCAGTTGAGCATACAACACGAAATTAGAACTTTGGAATAAGGGAGGGGCCTATGGCCTCTTCACTGAACTCCTGCCTATTGAAAAAACACAGACAAAGAGCCTTAAATATACGCAAAACAGAATTCTTGGTAAACTGTTGTGGAATAAGGACACAGGTGGCTGGTCGCCGGACGTGTTTAATTCTTGACCTTTTCTGCGCGTTTTTTGAATGCTTATCGGTCAGCGTAATGTGATCGCGCATTAGGGATCTGTCTCTCAAATTTAGCTCATGGTAGAATAAACTTGATTCCTCTTTCAAGCAGCTTGGTAAAACCCAATTTGTACTTCATTTTATAAATAAATAAACGGCGATTGGACTTCAGTTATCTAAATATTTCGATGGTAATTCATAAAACAGCAGATATTTCTTCCAAAATTTTGGCTACTTCAGTTTTTTCGTTTGCCACCTTAGGAGCTACGGGTGGGTCAGACTATTTGTTTGTCTTCTTCCGATACCGAAAAAGTATTTTTTTATAGCAGGAGTTTAAACACTTTGAAATGTTAACTTAGCTGCTGTGGTTTTCGTATTTGAAGTTGTACGTCTTATGCAATGCCTTATACACGCACGGGTCTGAAGGCCTAACCACACTGTTTAAAGAGGGAGCAAAAACAGCCAAACCTAGCTTTTAAAAAATCAGTTTGTCGGCTAGAAGGTATAAATCCAGCTGATATTTTGGACAAAAAGGACGCTGGAAGATTATGAACATTAATCGCTAAAATGCCCGCTGGCTTATGGCAACTGCAGCGGAAGTCCTTCTACATCCTGTGCTGGCCCTGTAACTACCGGAAGATATCTGTCAAAACGTCTACTTTAACCCCTCGCTACAGCACTAAAGGCCAACATACCAGATATAATGTATTTTCCTTTAGTCCATGAGTTCTAACCTACAAAACATAAAAGAGCTGCATGATGGTTTTCCATAAATTCCTGGGCAAGAGATCAAAAAACGCAAAAAACTTCACCAATACGTAAGCCGAAAACAAATTCGTGAATGCGCATGAGTAATCTTGGGACTTTTATCAAGAAGAAAAAACTATTTGCGTAGCAACTTTAGACATGCATGTTTTACTCTATAACTGAATTCTGTAACAAAAAATGAGTTTTATCATACGGCGGGATCAACGTGGGCTTTTATTGCACCAATCAGAACCCTTTCTAATATCCGCAATTCATAAACACAGAAAGCACTTACTTGTCTGATTCAGCGTTTGAGGACTCTGCGGCGTTGAACGCTTCTAGCTAGCTTTATAAATATAAAAGACTATACTGAAATACATCATTTACTAGAACATCATACGTGTCTGCAATAAACTTCTCGCCGGACGGAAGTATATATTTTAACACGTACTAGATGGTGTGGTGTACCCATACGGCGATCTGTGGAAGAGCTAGGTTACACATTAGTAGGCGCAGTTTGAACAAAAGGGAGCAGAAAACAGGCAAGTAGAACTATTCGTGAAAACTAAATTTTACCTTTCATGTTACTAAGATAATAGTTATGAAATTTGTGTGGTAATGATTGCAAAGGAGGATATCATTTTCATGGGTAAAACCATATAGCATTTTCTTCTAAATGTCATAGTTAATTGCAGGTAAAGTGACCGATCCGATGAAGTCAGGTATCAACCCTATGTTCATTTAGGTCGATTAGACCATTTTTTTGATTTGAATAGCAATTGAAAAATTAACGAAAATACTGTTGCTTTTTTGCGGCACACAAAGATAACTTAGGTGGCATGCAAATCCAAGGGTTTTTCCTCTTCCCGGTTATTGTATATACACACTACAGAGGGTTATGTACCCAGAAAGACTATTTATAACCAATGAGGAAATTTACT